AAAAAAAAAAAAAAAGAATTCAAAATTTGACTTGGCTAAACAGAAATAAAAATGAGAAGTTTTTAATTTTATAGGCTCTTAGTCGTTGTCGAATATTTTAGTTTTGATAGTACTGTAATCTAAAAGGAAAGCCTTGTTTATGTTCTAGGTTTCTTACCGAGCTCTGAAGAAGATATTCAATTTGACAGACCGAGACAAAATCCAGTAACATTTGCAAACGTCTTACAACGTTGCTTCATTATTAAGAATTAGCTAGTCCTTCATGAATCTGATCTCACTCTTAATTTCCACAAGAATGCCACCGAAATTAAAATACATACAAAAGACGATGAAATATTTCAGTCCACGTAAGATTAAGCCTAAATTATACAGTTGAGAAAACCATTCTGAAGTATATTAACTTTTCCACAAATCTAAATATTCAGCTTGTCTGCATTGTATATGCTATACAGTAAGACCCCCGGTATCCACGGTAGATCAGTTCCAAACCATCTGTGGATACTGAAAAACATGGATTCTAACAAACTATTTTAAGAGTGAACTCTATACATAGCATGGTCTCTGCCTCCCTCTAATGGCCACTTCTGGTAACTTCACCTTTAGAACAATATATTTCTAGGATTTTTTCTTTTAACATTTTTAGTCTTTTCAGACCGCGGATAAGTGAATCAGTGGATATTGATGCCACGGATAAGGGGACCCTACTGTACAATCAGAATGAATGGCTATTGTCCATTGCCATTTTCAGTTATTCTTTTGTGCAGCCCTGTCCCTATTTACAAGCGTTATTGAAAAGATCCACTTTCCCTATCCCATAAAGTTCGGCGAGCTCTTTCTTCAGTTTCTCCAGGCTCTCTTCTTTCACGTGGTTCTCGTCATTCTTTGCGATGGCAGCCCACGAAGTTCGGCGACCCTTCTCGTGCACGCAGCAGGCCGCGGACCAGATATGGCTGGGCTTATTCACCCTGCCGTCCGAGATGTACTCATCCCCGGGCACCACTCCAGTAATGACATACAGGTCCTTGCAAACGTGTGCTTCTTTCTTGATCCGGTTCTCGTAGTTGGCCCACGCTTCTTGATTCAGCTTGCTAAACTGCGGCACGACGTTGGTCAAGGTGAACGTCGCAGCTCTGCTGTCTTCGTCAGGCTGATGGCAGACTGGATTCAGGTGTCCCTTTCCAATGTTCAGTGCATGCCTGTAATCTTCTAACACGGCCTGGTTCTTTTCTATCTCAGCAGCAGCCATGTTGGTGTCCCACTCATCCGCCATGCTCTTTCCTAAATTGGGGTCTACAAGCTGATAAGCAGAAAAGGAAACACGGTCAGGAGCCATCCCTTTGAAAAGGCTTGGAAGCTGTGAAGTTGTCTTCCCTTTCCTTGTTGGCCTTCACTGCTGTCAGAGCTATGTCTAGCCTTTTATGAATGGAAAGCTTATTATGCAGATAAATTGTACAGCAGGACCACCGTATCCATGGGGGATCGGTTCCAAGTCCCTCCCCACGGATTCTAAAAACGCAGATTATAACAACACTAGACATGCCACAATCTCTGGCTCCCTCTCGTGGCCAGTTCTGAGAACTTCATATTTAGAAATATTTATTCCTAGAATGTTTCTTTTAATATTTTTCACTCTGTCTACAAGATTGCCACACCATACGAAGAAGCTTTGGGAGTCTGGAAATGTTTTCAATGAGAGACAGCATTATATGAATGATGAATAGTAACATGTAACTTTAAGAGAGAGACTTCACTTTCCCTATAGGGTCTATCCTATAGTAGGATACTTCTGGGTTCAATCTGGGTGAGTTAACTGTGGGTTTTCAAAAAGCCTACTACAGGTCTTTCAAAACTACAGTCTCTGCCAAGAGGAGTGGAGCTAATCCAGTAGGTGCAGATTTGGACTGAAGACACTGGCATTATGTAGTGTGTTTGGATGGTAGTTTGATGCATTTAGAGCGCACATGAATGTCTACATACCAACATATGATTTACAGGACTAGGAGAAGTCAGGAACATTACTCCTGATCATACAACTGCACACCTAGCTACACCTTGCAGCTTGAATACATCATCCAATCCATCTTCTATAGCACTCTTACAACCATTCACAAGTAGAAAATGTCTGGCTTTTGGCAATTGCTTCTGGCTGTAGATCAGAGTTCATAGAAATAAATGTTCCTTCATGCATTGAACTCCATTCACAAATAAAATCAGTTATTCAAGAAGGTGCCACACAGGAACCTCTCCTATTATGAGATATTGAATGTGCAAGGTGTTGCTGTTGTTGTTTTGTAAAATTGTAACATATATAATAATAAAAACACCTTACTTTATGCCTGAAATCACAGAGATGGATACAAGTTATATTATATTAAGGTGCCACATGTTTTGTTTTGTTTCTTTGGATTTTGCCTGAAATGCTTGCACAGACTACCATGGCTACCTCCTCCAAAACTGTATCTTATGTCTCAACTAAATTCAGGAGAGTTGTCTTTCACTGAATTAAATAAAAAACTAATTTTCAATGATGTTCATTTTTATAATGTACTACAATACAAGGAATTTGTAATCCTCCAAAAGGGTACAAAATTGGTTCCAATCAGAACTAACATTTAGTGACCAAAAGCATCTTAATCTTGCTAATGAACACAAGATCACTATCGCCATCTAGTGAACAATCTGAATAATTATCCTACTATTACTAGACAACTATTACTAGACAAATTAACCTACATTCGACCCATAATATTAATATCATAACTTATCCAGCAGCAGATTTTCTGCTAAGAGCAAATTTATATCAATTTATTACTGATTATTCATTTGTACCATCAAGTTATTTAATGACTATGACAGATTGAACAAAAAATTAAATGTACATCAAATTACTCACTTTCAAATCAGAATTGTAGAAAACAGAAAAACCAAAGAGGGAGAACATGAACCACAGAGACAGAATGCAAACAAACATTTTGATTAACTTCTGCATGGCCTAATTTCTCTAAGATACAAGCATCCAAACAGTGGAGGGTGGTTCCTCCTTTAATCATTTCAGGGTAAGTGTCCCTGGTTTGATCCGTAAGCCACCACTTCTGTATGGCAATTGTTTTTAAAGACAAATTTCTGAACAAAGCACTAAATTGTTTTGACAAAAATATGAAAGTAAAGTAAGTCCAGAGGACTCATACTGAGCAGGAGCTGAACAATAAGTAACTGCTGGATAGCTCAGTGGTTTAGGCATCTGGCTGCAGATCCTCCTTGACATGGGCTGGATTTGATGATATATAGGATCAATTCTAAAGAAAATCAACCACTGGAAGGACAGATCCTGAAGCTGAGGCTCCAATACTTTGGCCATCTCATGAGAAGAGAAGACTCCTTGGAAAAGACCCTGATGTTGGGAAAGTGTGAAGGCAAGAGGAGAAGGGGACGACGGAGGACGAGATGGTTGGACAGTGTCATCAAAGCGACCAACATGAATTTGACCCAATTCTGGGAGGCAGTGGAAGACAGGAGGGCCTGGCGTGCTCTGGTCCATGGGGTCACAAAGAGTCGGACACGACTTAATGACTAAACAACAACAAGGAAGTGAAGAGCAACTATGAAGGAAGTGGGAAAGAGCAAGAACAGGTCACTGGAGGCCAAGTCTAATGTCATCCATACTGTGTTGCTATGCAGACATGTGAAAGCTGGGGAATGAAAAAAAGCTGACAAGGGAAGAGGAAGGTGGTGCTGGAGGAGATCATGAACTGTGAGAAAAGCAGGTGAGTGGGTCCTGAATGAAACCAAGCCTGAACTCGCTCTACAAGCAAAACAAACGTTCAGTTGATGCCATTGTGCTGTGGAAAAACTCACTGAAGGAAAAAAAAATAGAAACCCACGAGGGATTAGAAAAGTTAAGGGCAGAAGTGGAAAACTGAACAGGAGACGGATTGAACACAGAAGGGAGGACAACACTTTTCATCTCCGTTTTTGAGACAGTGGAGTGCTTTGGGTTCAAATCTTCCACCGGCACCAGCAGGAGATTTTGAGTCAGTGGGGCTTACCTATGGCAGGGCATTCTCTCCCATACCTGGATAGAAGAGTGGTAGGGACAGCAGGAGACACAAAGGTGGGGGGGGGATGGTTGCATCTCACCTTCTTGTCAATTTCCTGAGGGGCAATGCCCCCCTCCGTCCCTGAGTAGCCCCACGCCCCTCCTCTCTTGCTCTACAGTTCCAAAATTTGCTCCCTGCAGAGGCCTGACAAAGCGACCCTTTGGGAATTTGTAGGAAAACAGCCGGAGATGCTTTACTCTGGATCCTTATTTGTTAACTAGCTTCATGGCAAACAGACTGTTAGATGGGGTTGGAAAAGAAAGGTAGTGGGCGACACGTATTAAGGCCCAAAATCAGTTTTCTTAAAACAGAGCAGCAGGTCTGGGTTGATTTTAAGAAGGTAGGCAGAATCTGAACTAGTGCGTCACCTTACAGAAAATCTTGCCAGACAACCCTTTCAGTTCCTTTCCAAGTCTACAATTCTGCAGCCAGAATCCTGTTGGCTCGTTACACGGGAGTAAGTGGGATGGCATAAATGGCAGCAGTGAAATTCCATTAAAGTAGGAACCCCTTTTTCTATGGGGGATCAGTGGATAAGGGAATCAGTGGATACTGATTCTGTGGATAAGAAGGTCCTATACTTAAGTGGCCTTTAATATCCCTCATGGTATGCCAGTTATTTGAGTTGGTACTCACCAAGAAATGCCAGGCGGAACCCATTAATTAAGAGAAGTTTGCTCCTGCAGTTCAGGCCACTGCATTTATCCCAGCATAACAAAATAACAGGATTCTGTCATCTCTACTTTAAAAAAAATTGGTCTAAAAGGCCAGGCACAGAATGGGAAGACCCAGTGCAAGGCAGACAGACGGTCCACGTGCTTTTGGAGCGGACAGGTGAGATGTCCTCTTACCTGGGGTTCTATCATCCAGCCTTCATACCTCTGGCCCTTTCCCTGTTTGCACTTATAAGCAGAATAGATCGGGATGCGCTTCTCTCTGTCGTACAAGGTGGCAAAACGGTAGGCGTTCTTGTAAAACTGGCAGATCCTGGCCGCATTGGGTGGGGCGAGAGACGCCTCCGGGGGCATCTTGTCCAAGAAAAACTCAAGGCAATTTGTAAAATCGGGCCCCACCTCGCCCTTTGCAGGCACGAGATAACAGGCGGCTGCAGAGAGCAGAAAGAGCAATAACATCGTCCAGCTGTTCACCACGGCGGAGGGATAAATCTGAAAGACAGATAAATTGTATAAATCCTGACATGTAGTAAGCAAAGTCTGTGAGGATGCTATCTAACGTGTCAGGAAAGGGAAACTCCCAAGCAAGTACCTACTTTGCTTTAGCAAACAGAAGAAGTTAGATGCAAAACCTGGAAAGAAAATGGGATGCATGATGCACCATCTTCATGACCTTCTTTTGCTATTTCAGTCGTTCCGTGGCAATGTGACAGAATTTAAAAGCCGTTTTCATGTTGGATGAAAGAACTGTCACCCGGGATGGCAAAGTTCTCCGTTCCTATACCATTCCCCCCACCCCCGATGACACCAGAGCCTGAATTTAGATTTTGAAGTGAGGAAGCTGCTTGTGGGATGCAGCCACAGAATCACAGAAATCGTCGTAGGGTTGGAAGGGACCTTGGAGGTCTTCTAGTCCAATCTCCTACCCAAGACATGAGACCTCAGACCATCTCAGACCTCATCCCGATGGCTGTCCAATCTCTTCCTGAAAACCTCCATCGATGGGGCACCCACCACCTCGGGAGGCAAGCTGTTCCACTGCTTAGTGGTTCTCACCATCAGGAAATTCCTCCTTATTTCCAGGTTGGATCTCCCTCTGATGAGTTCCCACCCATAGGTTCTTGTCCTACCCCCTCAGGCATGATGGAGAATCAATCAATGCCCTCTTCCCTGTGGCAACCCTTCAGATCTTGGAAGATGTCTCTCATCTCTCCCTACAGTCTTCTCTTTGTTAGACTAAACATGTCTAGTTCTTTGAGTCATTCTTCATAGGGTTTAGCCTCCAGTCCCCTTATCATCTTTGTTGCTCTTCTCTGTGCCCCTTCCAGGGCCAGAAGGACAATGTTTTAAAATAATATTTTTCAGTGCGGGACTCACCTTCGGTTCTAGAATCTTCAGAGTAAAGACCTGAAAGACTCTGGCAACGACAAAGCAAACGATAGCCTCCAATCTCGTTTCGCACTGGTGTGCATCTACATGAATTGTGCTGTGATTGGGACCTTATAAAGTATTGGTCAGCAGGAAATTCATTGCCTGGAGCTGAAGGTTTCAGATAGCGCAGAGAAACTCAGATAGGGCGGGTGTTGGAATTGCAGAAAAAGTAGATGTAGTCATTGGCCTTCGTCAAATGCAGAAGTTAAGAAAAATGCCTAGTTTGTCCCAGATTTGTAAGTCTAGCTGGAGGAACTTGAGAACAGAAATAATTATTAGAGCTTGTGCTTAAGAAGCATTAGTGAGGGAGAGGGAAACAAGAGGGGATGGCTGGGTTGATAGTAAACTGGTTTGCTTCTGCTCTGAATATTAATATCAATGCAGGAGACACTGATTATGGTCCTTTACCTCCTTGCCTTTAGAAACTACAATCTCCTAAGGATATTTTGTGAAACCCAGTGTGGTGTAGTGGGTAGAGTGATAGACGAGGGCTCTGGAGACCAGGGTTCAAATCCCCACTCAGCCATGGAATCTTGCTGGTGGAGTGGAACTAGGAAAAACACTCCTTAAGACATCTCACTTGTCTGGAAAGCTGTATCAGAT